AAATTTTCGGGTTTTGGTGTTTTAAAAATTTTAAAAATTTCGGGGGTTTTTGGGGGGGTTTTTTGTTGTGGAAAAATTTTTGGTTTTTGCTCCCCCCCAATTTTCCGCCCCTGGGGGGGGGGTTTAAAAACCCCCCCCCCAAGGCATTTTGGGACTTCCCGGGGAAAATTTTTTTCCCTTTTTTCGGGGGGGTTGGGTTGAAAGTTTTCCCCCAAAAGGGGGCGGCACCATTCAACACCAAAAAAAATTTTTTTCGGGGGGGTTTTGGGGGGCCCCCCCCTTTTAAAACACCGGGGGGCTTTTCGGAAAGTTCCGAGGATTTTGGGCCCCCCTGCCCTTTTTGGGATTTTTTTCCCCCCGGGTGGGCCCTGGGGGAAAAATGCCCCTTCCTTTGGGGTAGGGGGGGTAAAGGTTTTTTCTTTTAAGGTTTGGGAAGCAGGGAAACCCCCCCCCCCCCCCCCCCCCCTCTCCCCCCTCCGTCCGCCCGCCCACAATATATTATAACGCCGAAGACAGGCCCATCGGTCTTGTGCACGGGCTCGGTCGCATCCTGCACTTCCTGGGGGAAGATACCACGGGTGCTGGCGGCGCCTGTGGTGGTGGTGCTGCTGCTGCTGGCGATTCTTCCGCTGCTGCGGGGGTTACGCCGACCGAGCGGGAGTGTGCCCTGGGGGAGTACTCGTGGGTGGTCGGGGCCCCGTTTCCTGACGGCATCACTTGCCCGAGGTAGGCGGGGGTCCCCTGCGCTTGGTTCTTTTCTTGTCTTGGCGCTCCTTTAGACCGGCGTGCGTGGTTCGAATCGTTGCGTCTTTGCTTCTTCCACAGCTGGCACACAAGCCCGAGGCCTTCCTCGAATGTCCAGGGCACTTTCTAGCGCTTGACTGTAGGCAAGTGTGCCAGGACGACGCCCGTATTTTCCTCTATCACTCCTTCTTGACTGTCTGTTGCCCGCGAACTACGGTGCCTGAAGTTTGTGACAGTTTTTCCAGCGCGTGAACTGTGCTGACCCAACCATGTGGACCCCTCTTTTTTTTCGTTTCTCTCTCTCTTCCATGCGCGTGCCTCTGCGTCCCGGGGACGAAACAGCTACAACGATGACAACGACGACGCCCTCGACGAGCGATACGGGGCCGGTGGAGGCAAGCCCACCGGAATGTACCGGGAAGGGTCGGGCCTCGAGAACGTTCTCCTTTGCTTCACTGGTCCTGAGTACATGCACATGGTGCTAAGGTAAAGTGATTGTTGTTGGTGTGGAGCGGGTGGGGTTGGGCGGTGCGGGTATTTGTACCTCAAGCCGATTTTTGCTCCTCTTCCTACCTCGTGTTGGTGTTGTCGTAGGTGGCGATGTGTTGTTGTTGTTGTTGTTGTTGTTGTTGTTGTTGTTGTTGTTGCTGTTGTTGTTGTTGCATTTGTTGGTGGTGTTGTTGTTTGTGGGTGTACAACGGTGGCGGTGGTGATGACACCTTGGCACTGCCCTTCGTTTCTACCCCTTCTCAGGAACCACGGGGCCACCAATATCCCCCCGCGAGGGTTGGCGATGCTCCGCCTTTATCCGCTAGAGCCGTGGCACGCCAGGGACGGCTACACAGAGCTTGAGAGCGCCGCAGACAAAGACACGAAGAAGTGAGCGAGCGGTACAGCTATTGGCACCGCATCAGGATTGCGAATACCCTAGCGTTTTCGCCGATGATGGGACTGTGTTTTTGCAATAGCGGAAATTGCAGCTCACGTGGTCTGGAGGAATCTCGTGTGTTATTTTTTTCGTTGATATTGGTCGGAGGGAGTTTGTCTGATGCCACGCCGGGGGACGGAGATGTGCATTTGATGGTATCGAGTTGGAGGTAGAGTAAATTTGAATGGCGTTTTTTCAACAACAGGTGATGGTGTGAACCTCATGTGAGGGCACACATGTGTTGTGTTTGACAGACGACATGGTGTTGTGTGTGTGTCAACTACAGAGTAGTTGTTACAGACACTGAGGTGTTGTATGTTGTTGGAACTTTGTTGTTTTTGCGGCACCTATTTGTAATTGTTTTGGAAAACACATGCTGTGTCGTATTCGTCAGCTGAGAGTTGCAACAAAACTACAAGCACAACTTTATCCAACCCTGCCCTGCGACCACGACAGAGCTGTGCGCCAGTTCGACGCGATCCGACGATCGACCCTGCACAGCGTCACCGTGCAGCGGCGAGAGGCCAACCTGGAGCGGGCCTGGCACAACCATCTCAGCGACCTCGTGGACAAGTTCTTCCCTGGGGATCTGGCCTGGTGAAACGTCGGTCCAACCGCAGCCTCAGTCGGAGCGGACCCGAAACCAAGCGAACCGAAACCAATCCAAGCACAGACCGTGACCGAGACCAAGCGGAACCAGGAACCAATGGAATTTGAACCGAAACCAAGTGGCACCAGGCACCAAATCCGTAAGCGAGCAAGTGAGAACTGGATGCTTTCAACACAAGCCAAAGCCGCACCCAGGCGGAATGGGCACCGCTACCGATGGAACGAGACGATCGGGCCGACCAGAGACCGCGCGTCTGCATCGGAAATCTTGTTTCTGGCCGCCTTACTATCTTGCCGTGCGCGAGCGAGAGGCCACGCGGGGGAGGGCGTATTTGGTTGGGGGTCATGTGTTCGAGGTTGCCACGAAGCCGATGTGGGTGTTTGTTGACACTTCGTCAAGCTTCACGCTGCCTGGGGGTGGGAGCGCCCTACGTTCGGCGGCACCGCTGTGGGTGCAATCAAGTGGTAATATTGTTGGGTGTTGTTGTTTATGCTCGGAGGAGCGATCACACAAGCAAAGCGTTACGTGTCTTGAGGTGTTGTTTGACGACTCAATCGACCTCCGCTGGCTATTTATCTGTGCCTCTGCCTGTTTGTCTTGTATAACTGCCGAGGCCCTTTGTGTCTGTCCGTGTTGTTACCGTGTTTCAAATGTTTTTTTCCGTCTTTGGTGCAAGGTGCTGTTTTCTACCGGTCGCGAGTTTGATGCGTGTGGGTGTGTAGCTGGGCAGGCCTAGATCGAACGGAGAAGAAAAGGGACAGAGGTGTTCGCATCGTCTAGGGCCTTTTTGTGTACGCGAGCGAGAGACTTTTAGGTCGAGGGGACCGTGTTTTTTTTTTTTCGAGAATCCAGGTGGGGATTCGATGTAAAGTAGGCACACAGACAGACGGAGACTCGAGAGAAGCCTGCAGAGCTTCAGAGAGGGAGAGGAACATTGATGATGCTGTGTTCAGCATGCCGAGCGGCACGGAGTTAGAGAGGAACATGGATAATGCTTAGTGTATCATGTCAGCAACATTTTGCGTCGGGGGTACGAAACCCCCTTGATTGCCCCGCTTCTCGGTGGAAGGCATTTCCAAATCAGCATTGCGTGTTCGGTGTTTCTTGTACCATCGGGAGCATCCATGCTACAATATTTTTCTTTTTTCCCCAACATCGACGGGATCAGAGAGATTTTCGGGGTGAAAGTGACTTACCCCCCGCCCCGTAAATCGACGGGGGAGGGTGGCTTAGCGGAAAGCATGTATGTGTGGCTTCATATTTTTCAAAGGATTCAGCTCCTTCGTTTCAAACGTAATTGCCTTTGTTTCGTGATTTGATGAGGTCATGCTAATCGGAGGGGCGACGAGATGTAAATGTAACACCCGGCTTCACGAGTGCGGGGGAAGGGCGGCGGGGGGGGGTTCATTGCATCATGATAGGGTGATCGGAGGTGGGTACCGCAAACCTTCAACACACTTTAGGCCATGCTGTCGCATGGCCTTGTATTCCTTGTATTCTGAATCCCACCTCTCTCAGAGGACGTGGGTGATGTAGAGAGGGGCGAGGGGGCCCTCACCACGGCGGAATTACCTCCCGTTGGTCGATCCCCCTCCCTAGATGAAGATGGTGTGTCCGCAAGCGTGTCACGTGATACGCGTGATTGACCCCCTTTCATGGTTGTATTTTTTGGTGCTTTCAGAGTATTTTGCCACGCTGTGGCGTGTCCCGTCATCTATGAGAAAGCCTTGTGTGAACAGGCTTACGGCATATTGTTGCATTTTTTAAGAGTCTTCGAACAATAGTTACTATTGGAGGTCGCCCCGGCGTACTCCAGTCACCATGCATACCACTACTTCCAAATATTGGCGAGCACGCCTTCGATGGCAAGCATTCAGCGAGGTGGCTGTACCCTTGGTGCTGTCCAAGCCCTTGCACCGGGTATACGAGCGCGAGAATTTCGCCGATGGCCGGCGTGATCTGGACGTGCTTCGATCTCAAACTCACGGCGATTATCTGTTCCGTGATTGGTAAGATGGCGAAGGACACGCGAGAGATGTGCTTATACCCATCTACCTCCGCCCAGAAAACAGATTCGTGCTCGCGCACTACTGTCGGGGCCACGTACTTGTAGCGGCAGCTTCTTATGGGAGGTTATTATGAAGCGTGCACTTCAGCGCTTTGAGCCTCACGGGCTTGTTCCAAGTATGCACCTCTACCGAAATATGAATGTCGCCCGGTGCTCATTAGCTTCCTCGTTGTTGAGCATCCCTGGCGAGGATGAGTGCCCCTAACTTCTTAACTTCTTACAAGCGGGCCAACAACTACGATTCTATCTAACGAGGAAAGGTGAGGTCGCGTTAGCTGTCGGTGGTAGGTTTAGCGGCGCCGTCGTCGAGAAGCGAGGTGACGGCGTTGATGGCGCGCTCGATCTTTGCCTTTGGAGAGGAGGAGGCATCCTCCCATTTGAGCATGGCTACCCTGGCGATTCCTTCCAGGAACTCGGGGTACGTCATCTGAGACAAGACGATGTACAGACGGCATTCGTTCAGGTCAAGTCTCCTCGCACCAAACAATCGCCCAGGCTTGGTCACACCGGCGGAATCGTTTCCTGGTTAGGGTCACACAAGCACAACCCGAACAAGGCGCATCAACCAAAGATCCACGACCATAAGGGCAAAAAAAACAAAAATCCAGGAAAACTACAAACAATGCAGGGCAAGGGCAAACAAACAGTCACGCTTGTCGCTGAGGCTCGGAGGCCGAGATCGTAAACGAAACGAGCCAGAACATGGAGTTAACTCAAAAGACACAGTGCCAAACAACAAAAGGTACGCGGAGCCATTCGCACCTGTTCGATCTGAGGCCCAGCGCCTGGGGGAGGTGCTTCGTAGCTATCCCCCCCGCAGAGGTCATTCTGAGCTCCGGCGAACGCCTGTCTCGCCTCCTTGGCCGTCAGCTCATCGTCCTCCTGATCAGAATGGTATTTCGAGATGTTGCTTGGGACTTGGTGAGGAATGTTTGGCTTCTTTCCACCTCCGAAAGCAGTTTCGCATCGAAACAGTGCGGGTGTGTGTGTGTGGTTCTGTCCTGCTTATTATGGCGACAAGTCCCCCCATTTTTCGTGGTGAGACGGTGTACTACACCTTTTAAGTGTATTTTTCCGTACTACTACAACCATCCAGGGTCATACATGAGGGGATAAGCACCAGGGTTTTCTCTCCTTGTCTATTTTTGCGCCCCACCTTCTTCCTGCGGTGCAGGTAAGAGTGTGATACTGGTAGGACCTTGGGACCACGTTGTCCTACTTTTTAAACCCCCTTGCAATATCCGCTGGAACAACTGTAATCGATGACGACGCCCACGCCACGGTAGCAGGCACCTTGTTATTACCCCCCAGGAGGCCGGAGTCTCTCAGGATCATCCGAAACTCGGCTATGTTGAGCAGGACCCCGAGCGCGGCCGGAGCCCCTGGCCTGTCGCTGGCCTTGCAGTACGAGTCGAACACCGACTTGAGCCTTGAATCTTGGTCATGGTACAGCGCGAGCGTATCGTCAGAGTCGAGAGCCCTAGGCAAGAGTTTCGCATTCGTTGGGAGGCGGTGAATCTTCGTGCTGTGTCATGGATGATGCTCATGTAATCCTATGGCTCTGTATTATTTCGTGTTTGACTTGCGGTGCAAAAATCGAGATGAGAAATACTACCCTATGCAAGCTCATCTCCATCTTCCCTCTGATTTTGGGGGAATGGGCGATAGTGAAGCGGAAACCAGAGCGCATACCAAACGTTACAATTTACCCGATGCCTACCATAAACCATCGATGACAACCAGGAGGACATTGTCAAACGGACAAACTCGTTTCTTACGTTTTGATCTGAAGGCCAATGACCTTGCGGTGTGCCAACGGCAGCATGACGCTCTTCATGAAAAGATCCACCGCTTGGTCCACGCTGGATTATGTGAAGTGTGTCGCCGAGAGGCAAACGCACGCAGGGGTGCAGAGAGTGCACGGGAGGCAGGCGGGAGTGATGAACTCAGATACCGTCGCAGTGAGTCTACAATAGGTTTACATCGACGTACCGGCATACAGAGACAAAAGAAACAACAAAACCAATGGTGTTTTCGTTCAAGCAAATAGTATCACAGCATCACAGCGAACCTCTACTACAGTGTACCCGCCTGCTAGCCCATTTTATCTTCGACGAGTTGTTGCCCGATTCCCCCGAAACACCGCCTCCACCTCCGCCGCCGCCGACGTTTCCGGCCGAGCCTCCACCGGAGGAGTTGATGTGCCGAGCGCAAGCCAGGCGCAGAATACAGAAGAGGAACTCAATCATCCCCATTGCCCCCGCCGTCTGCCGTCCCTGAGGTCACGATCGATTGTTTTTTTGGCATGTATAGTTCACTCAAAAAATGTGTTCGCCATGTTTGTTACCGCTCGGATTTCGTAGACGACACACCAACATGCGCGCTTTCCTTGCACATAGTGCAGGTGATACGCGCGCAGCGTGAAGATTGAAACGAAAACGGTGGCGGGAACAAGCAGGAAGGATTGGACTGTGTTTCGGGCACCGCCGATGATCTTGCGGAAACGTTGCACTCCCCAATGAGTAGGGATCTCGGCGCTATTCATTTGAGACCTAACCACAGGAAGAAGGGGAGGAAGGGAAACCATGCGAAGCTGGGGTCAATACAAATGTCAATACAAGCCGGTGCCACGGCATTTTAAATACAACCAGGCAACCGACAGGGGCCTCGTAACATGGAAAAAAATGGGCGATGACAGAAGAAAACCATGCGCGCACGTCGTGCAACAGACTAGACTTGTAACGGGCTGAACGTTAGTGGAAGGCTATTTTGTTTTCACTGGGATTAGAGTCTGTGCAAGCGGGGGAAGGGAATCGTTGGCTGACCTTTTCCCCCCTGCAGGCACCGATGGCTTCTCCGAAAGCTTTCTCGACCAGGTCGCGGGACTTGGAGGAACTGAAACCGCGCAGGTCGTGCAGGAACGCCGAGAACTGCAACGGAATGTCAAAGGATGTGGTTTGCTGAAAATGTCGTTGGTCAGTCAAGTCCTGGAAGCAGTACGGGTTTGGTCCAACGGTGAACGGTACGATCGAACCAAGTAATCGCCTGCATTTATCCTTTCGCTACAGTAACGTTGGTTCACGGACAGGTTAGAAACGTTTTCAAGGGAAGCGCACGAAGTCACTGTAGGTGCGTCGTGACAAGTATGAGTATCACACACTCACTTTTGATCTGACAACAAAACAACCACAACTTAGAACGAAGCTACGGTAGATTACACGGGCGTGTGTGTTTGCTCGATAGATAGATTGGCGATGTACCCTTTTTCACCGCCCTCCGTTTACCGAGAAAGCGCAGTTTCCTCTCGTGAATCAGATTGGCCGAACTCGGTTCCTTCAAGGGACCGAAAGGAGGTCGAACCACTCCGTACAAGCCCGAGCGGCTACAATTGTACCAATAGTGCGAGCACACGTGCTCCTAGTTCTATTCTGCTGCAGTTTAAGCTGCTGTGGTTGGTTGGCTGTTTCGTTTGCGCTGAAAAATGGTTTCACAAGTTTCCTTGCCCGATACTTTGGCTTGGGTGAGCCTCGACAGCGTTGCGTCGAGGCTTAAAGGGGGGGGCGTTTGATTCCCTAACGCATGAATTAACCAACCCAAGATTCGTTCACGGTTTCCTGCCGGCAGGCTCCTTCATGGCGATTCCTCGGCGTAGGTCGTTCGGGTTTTGACGCTCAACCATTGGCGTCGGGGCGCCCAACATCGGGATAAGCATTGGTTTTGTACGTTGCACGCGCTTTCATTCCCGATTGGTGTCCTCGACGCAGGAGCACTAATCTCGAAGCACTCGCGAGGGCGCCCGAGGGCTAACGGATACGGTTAACCTGCGTCCACCCGCTCGGAGGATACGGCAACAACAAAGACCGGGTTGCACGTGCCTCCATGATGTCTATCTCTCCCGTGGCCAACGCAGAGCCGATGCTGGCGTAGTGCTTGAACACCTCAACGAGGGTGACATAGTGGGCCAGAACCACCTCTTTCACGCTCGACTGCTCTGCGAGGTCCTCAGTGATCCTATTCAGAGGCAAGTTGTCGTACAGGTTTGGGGCAAAAGGGGAAGCACATGAGCGGGTGAGCGGTCGCACGATTAGCGCCGCAAGGCCATGGCATGACGCTGCAGCTTCAAGAGTCGGTGGACGCTTGTAGAGAGAAGGGGGAGGGGACAGAGGGAGAGAGGAAGAGAGGGGAAAGAGAGTGAGGAAGGGAAACCTTGTCGGCTCGGTCTCCCGTCGTCATCGACAACGACAATAGCTGACGTGCTCATCTCCATAAAATCCGAGGTGTTCCACGAATCCTAGCCAGTTGAGAGGATGGATGGATACGTTTAGCTGAAGGTCAAAGTCCACCGTGAGAAGGTGTAGAACAACCTTGGTCCCATGCGACCACAGTACGCTACAAGAAAACGCCTGGTAGTGGCAGGCTGAGCACACACACGAAAACTTTGTTGCGTAACACGATATGCTTCGCAAGTGGCGAGTTCACATCGAAGCACGGCAGTGCACGTGTAGTTTCCCCGCACTCGGTAGACACTTTCGAACGGCATGGGATGGGGTACGGTACAGCCAACCAAATGGAGTTAAATACACCTCGTCGATCGGGAATTCTCCCCCCCCAGTATTGGCTCGTTCTCGGATTGCGCATTCTGTGCCCCATAGACGAGGCTCGCGTGTGAACCGACGACAACAGCCTCAAGGCGACCCCAACATGCTCACTTGTCGATAGGCTGCATTACCGGATGGCACAGCTTCGCCCAGTCCCTCTCGAACGCCCGTTCCACCTGATAAATCGGGCCGGGCGGCGAATCATGGTATTTTGCATTGCCTTTCAAGCTCGTTCCAAAAACCCCGTGCGTTCATGTCGGGACAGCGCCGTTTCGTGGCAGGCATTGTCCCACTTTGACGAGTGAGAAGTTCCCCTACGGTGCTGTACCTTTTCCGGGCAGTACAGCTGCGACACCATCATCCGACGCATCGTCGCACCCTTCCTAGCTGCAAGATCCGCCGCCCTCGCCTCGGCCTCTCGCTCCAGCCGCTCCCGCGCATTGGCCATTGCCCTTTAGTCCAAGAGGCAGTAAAATCATGTGGATGCTGTTGTTGTTGTTGTTGTTGTTATTGTTATCAGCGTATGTTTTGAACGGAATCCATTTGCAGCATATGAGACTTCCTTTAGGAGACAGAGCGTGAAAAAAGACGAAAGGTACGCTCTTTCACGTGTGTGGCCATGAGCAGACTGAGATACTCCGAACCGCACCGGCTGAAGACACGTATGTCGGCAATACAGACTATTCGGGTATGTAGACCAATTACGGATAACCTCATAGACTGATCCTATCAAATGTACTCTGATTGTCCGGCAGTATATCAAACACAGAAAGAACGCTTAGTGCGTGTATTGATGGGTACGAAGGTGTTAGCGGCATTGTACGTATCGCTGTAGTCGTCCCATGAACGATGCTAAATTAATATCCAACAAACACATGTCCACCACGGCCGACACACGTACCTGTACTCTTCCTCGATGGCCACGCTCCTCTCCTTGTCCGTCTTCTCGCCGATGCAGAACGCTATAAACATCCACCGCTCGCGCATCGGTCGTTCGATGTGATTCACGGACCTGCGTGGCAGGTCAGCGTGCAGAAACCAACAGAGCAGCACGAGTCCGCGTTTGCGGGTTGCTTGAACGTAACCAAGGGCTGTGGGGATGCGGGTAGGCATCGCGTGGCGGTCTGTCCTCCGTACGTGCCCAAGGGTCAACGAGTAAGCGGTCCCAAAACGAAAGCAACCCACTCCGTCAGTGTACAGTATTGATTCTTTCCTCTCCAGAGCGTAGATAAAGACATATATGTAAGAGGCCCAAAATGATGACTAGGAACTCCACAACAGCAATGATACTGTGCTTCGTAGCCAAAGGGGAAAACATAACTTTTTGATGTTTGCAATGGAAATGAAGGAGCCGATCGCAAACCTCATTGATAGCTAGCTCACGGATGTTTCTGGTTTTAACACTGCTGTTTCTAGGGCACCATTTTTCGCTATTGTACCGTCAACCGTCATGTGGGAAAGACCTTTGCACTTCAACAATTGACAGTTGCAATTGTCAGCACATGTTAGTTGCGTTCTAGTACGTATGCCAGCTGTGGCCCCTGATGGAGGCTGTTTTGGGGTTATCCACTGCTGTCGTAACAGCTTACGCGAATGTCGAGTATTCTCTTGCTGGCAGTCAGCTCCTTCATCTCCCTTCACGCAATCGACATCACTCAAACTGCGGCGAGTAAGTCACTAAAGAATCACCGGTGACCAAAGTAGCATCGAAGAACGGAGTGACACTCACATCTTGTTGGTCAAAACCACGTAGACTGCCTCCCCCTGGCGAACCTCCTCCCTAATGGATTTGTCGGGATGCAAGAACGTCGACTGTTGATGGGGTTGTCATCATTGCCGACGGCAGACGGACGGAGGGGAGTTGAGACGCACACAGGGAGATGGGGAGCCAGCCAGCCGGCCAACCAACCAACCAACCAACCAGACAGACAGACAGACAGACAGACAGACAGACAGATAGACAAGCAACGAAGAGGCAGGGAGAGAGGCGACAGAAAAAAACGGGAGAGAAACAAGAGAGTTTCGTGAGGGATGCATGTGTTCGGGGGGGTGCAACCAACGGTGGAATGTCGAAGAACAGCATTACGTGTCGGCTGTCGATTGGAGGGTACCCATTATTTTGACTATCGTTTTTCTTTTGCACGCTTCAACATGTTCGTGTTACCTCCTCGGTCCTCCCTTCACAGATTAATCTTTTGCCAACTTATGTGGAGAGGAAACCAGTTGTTTTCATTCTGCTGAGCAATTGACGCCAAGACGTTTCCGATGTGAAGCCTACACGTGAACGGGAGAGTCGGAAACCCGCTTATCTCCAGGTTGCGCGCAACCTACGAAGATGCAGCCGAACGTTTATCGAACGCTTGGTGTACGTTGCCATTGAGGGGATCTCTGTTTGTCGATTCTTGCGTACTGCGTTTTCGCAATTTGTGGGTACGCAGAGCAGCCATCGTAGGTGCATCAGAACATCGCGCAATTCTAGTCTTGCATAAAAAAACTAGGAAATTTGGTGTGCTACGCATCCGCTTGCCTTGGCCGTGTACACTCGCGATGGCAGAAGCTTGGCAGAAGTGGAGATGACCTTGGTAGGCCCGGCCCTCTCGCGATGGCGTCGATACCCGTTGGGCTTGATCGTCGACGAGAAGCGTTGTGCCGCCGCCAGACCTGCATCGACGCTATTGATTTCTTCTTGTGCTTTTCGCCGTGCATAGTTGTACATTCTCCAATGTGAACTTTTTATTTGCACATCAAATTGATGAAGCTGTGACCACTGTAGCGAAGGGGCTCTCTACACGATTTCTTTGGTTACAGATTCTGTCGTTTTTTTGGTCGCGTTTAACCCCGAATGTTTCTTGAAGACCGTATAAAGAACCCACAACTCGAACAAAACCGCCTGCAGCGGGGTGCTTCGAGATACTCTTCATCTCGCAAACAAGCGGGCTGTTTTCGGGGAGAGACCAGTGTATTGAGAGTTGCAGTTGGCGGCCGGACTTCATGTATAGCCATACTGCTGTTATTTAAGTGCACAACGAAGACAATTCAATGCCCCACCTACAAATAGTCTAGTACACGCGTTCCATTGCCAGTGAGAGCACACATACTAGACTGAAATACGGTAGTCAAACATCCATAGCATTCAAGGCCGACGAGGATGCCCACGCAGTCGTCGCACGACCCGAATATTTCCGATGGTGCGATGGCAGCGGTCATCTACAGCATATGCTAGTCACGACTGCGCTGTACCTGCCTGCAGAGGGTTGCTTTCGATTCTCTGACGGTGCTAGCTTCGTATTATTCCCGAGTACCGTTGTAAGGCAACATTCAGACCTGCTCTGTAACCAGGAATGGTAGCGCACAATGGCGGAGAATAGCATGATACACAGCATTATTTGCGAAAAAAAATGGGTTCATCGCGGCTCTTTCTCTGGTACACAACCTTGATCACCCGCTCTCCTCAATCGAAGCTCGAAGCGCAGAAGGAGCGTATCATAGCTACAAATAGGCAGGCGACACTCACCCAGCCACTTTATGGTCATCCTCCCGTCACCAACTGGCATGTCGTACAGCATCTCCTGCCCTTCATAGATCACGGATAACTCAATCTTCATGGCTGACACGGTGATATGGCGCCGTACCCAGTCGATGAAACCTGCCTGCCTCGCTGCGTAACACCGCAAGCATTAGTTTATGCAGCAGTCGGCGGAAGCTGTTGACCTCTGAAAGAGAGTGACCCCGTACATACGTGTACATGCATACTTGAAACTCTGTACAAGTATGTGGGGCTTACAATCTTATGTGTGGGCATCGCATGCCGCAAACTCATTTTCGTCACTCATTGAACCATGCGGCGAAACTTCGTGCGTTTCTTTCTTCTCACGGTTCCCGTTCGCCCCGTGCCTGCGCGACACTGCGGCGATATACCAATTATACACAACGCGTACGCCAATTATAACTGTCTGGCTGCACAGACGAATACGTCCTCATGGCAACGCAGCACCACACAAAGAACGCCGCGTCGAACCGCAGAGGAGGACACTGTATGCTTCTATGCTTCTGATGTTGAGGTCGTTTCACGAAACTTGAACCGGTTTCGGTTGAGCCGCATTGTCGTTCATATTGCGAACCCCGCAAGCAAACCCCGTTGTCGATGACCCAACAGCGGAGATTACTGAAAGTTCTGTGAAGCGCTTATTCCTAGAAAAAGTTATTTTTTAATGCTGCAGGTTATATGTAGACGTGAGGCTTAGATGCAACTGTATGATTGCTATATGCAACGATACTTGACGCGGTGGGATACGTACCGTTTGGTACTATAGAACGTACCATAGTACATAGCGACGAGATTTAGCGAGAAGCTTTTGATGGGTTGATTTTTGATCGCAGAACATCACGATTGTAGCGAGTTCACGAAGTGATACGAGCTCCACCAGGCTCACTCCCAAATATCCCTCAGCATCTCATCTCTGCAAAGCTGTAATCTGAGGTTGGCACGACAAGAAGTACAAGTAGTCCCCAAGCGGCATGTAGGACCATCGGCTTCGGCCTCCACGACTACATACACGCGGATATACGCCTTCACAGGCCCCTTCGGTACAAACCACCTCGCCACACCACGTTGTACATAGAGGCAGGCAGACGTGTCACCCACCACACCGAACCAACGCAAAATATAGTTGATGAACGTGATTGGTGATTGAAACGGCACTGAAATAGACCAGAGCGTCTCTCATCACGAGACTTTCGAACTCAACATCGTCGAGATCGTCGGAACAGCTTGGACAGAAGATCGCCCATAAGGCAACAGCAAGAAGAAGCAAGAGAGGGGTGCCAGCGGCTAAAGGATTGGCTACCTTGCCGCGCTGAACAAGAACCCCCGGGGAGTCGGCTGGAGACTGCTCGGCGGAATAATACTACATTTATTTAGCCTCACGATTGTTCCGTGACATTCCGAAGACATGGAGCAGCAGACACCGGGCGGGCATCGACGGCTCTCGTCCTGTGACCGGTTTAGTCATAGGGCAGTGGGAGCATGACGTACTTCAACCCGTTCACGACGGAAGTCAGGAAAGTGCTACATAGTGTGAGTATCTGTGCAGTGGCAAAGTTTCTCGGACATACGTTGTTGCGCTCAGATAACATCGTTACTCAGTAGGGAGATACGCCACGAAATCGAGTCAATAGACTGTATTTAAGCGCTTGAGTGAGCCGTAATCCCTGCGCCTGCGGCAGCAACGCGACGGGGGTGGGGTGCGGCTCCCAAACCGTGGAATTCAAAAATGGTCGGTGAATGTTGGTCCAACCACATTCACACGATGTCTCGGTGGAAACCACCGGTGATGCTGACCCCGTTACATAATAACCACGAGAGAAAGAACTCTACCTGTAGAAGGAGATCTCCAACCGACGCTGCTACATACATTGGAAGAAGAGTACGCGGCGTGGCTGTCCGCCGTGCATTTGAGTCAGGCCCTCAGGCCAAGAACAGAGAACGACAACATACTTTCAAGAACGATCTCAAGATCTCGCCGAGTGGGTGATACACCGCATACATGCACCAGGAAGTTAGGCGTAACGTCGAAGAGCTCGCAGCTGGACATGGATTTGTTCCGGCGGACCCTGAAGCACGCCTAACGGATTGTAGAACTTCACAATAGGGCTGAGCTGGAAAACAAGAGCTGTACGAGAACTGGCAAGGAATTTCCCGAACCCTGAAGCGAGCTTCGGAGAAGGGCGATCGCGCAGGAGCGGAAGGTGAGGGTTGGCAGAAGTTATTTTTCGTTCCTGTCACAGTTGGTGTAACGTATTTCTCCAAATACCTCCGGATCTGTTGCGAATTTATTTTATGGACGGAACAAGGGAATTTAGTCAGGCCCGTTTCCATTGGGTCCAATATTTTCGCCGACATGGTATAATTTTGCCTTGGAATGTGGTGTTGATTTCGCCGTACTTTCACTTCCAGTTCGACAGTGTCGTGATACTGAAGTACTGAA